ACGCCGTGACCTCCCCTTCATCCTCGGCATATTGGCAGTCCACGGCATCAACCATGCCTGCATGATCCGCCGATTTCTCCATATCATCATTCCTCCGTGCCGGTTCATCAGATGCAAGCAGCCAAGGTTCCCCAGTTGGCCGAGGGCCCCTCGGCTGTCCAGCACGCATCCATACACCATACAGGTACTGTTCGGGCTTCAACACCGAATCTCTCGCTTTCAAACAGAATTTGTCCGAGTGGCCTAGTAGCCCACAGAAAAAACAAAAGGTGTGCAGTCTTTCGTATTTGAAGTTCACCCATCCCCATGTTTTGTCCCGACGAATAAGCTTCATTCTTCTTTTGAGGGGTTTGTCTACCGGCATAGAAACCCTAATGCGATAGAAAGCCTTGAGAGGTCCTTTTAGCTGCCTTTCATCATACTTGAGGAACTTTCCCAAGAACTTCCCCGTCTGTTCAAGCACCGGAACCGTATTATATCCAATCGGTAAACCATAAACCTGAACCCATAGATCAACCGAATCCAGAACGATATCCCCGGGCAATTGCCCGTCGACCAACTCCCTGCAAATCAACGTACAATTCTCAAAGGACCATGGACCCTCTTCCAATACTCTCTGAATATCTGTCTTATGGTGAAACACGAACTGGAAGAGATTAGGTTGAAGTTCTGTGATGTGCACACCCTTAACCGGCTTCCAGGCCGAAGCCATAACTTGCCGCATGTATTCAAACTTGATGAACCGTTGCGTTAAGAAACACCCAACAACAGTCCATGATTCCGCCACCCTTGCTGCTGTACTGTCGTCCATCGGTGCCATAACACCGACGTCCTCTTCTTCCAGGACCATATCCGCCCACTGGTCGGAGAGGTCTGTTATCGCTGCTGTATCCGGAGATGCCATCGTCGCCTATGTCGTAGCGTCACTGGCCAGTGTTTGTCGAAGTCGCACGACGATTACGAAAAAATCTGACCGGAACCCTTGCTGATCGGAAAAAAAACCCTAGTCGATAGGGAGAGATAGAGAGAAACCCGTAGAGGGAGGGAAAATAAATAGAACTATTATGTTTTATTATTTCTTACTAAAAATTCTAGAATGAATGAACTAAAATTCCATAATCTATGAACTAAAATTTCAGAATCGATGAACTACAATTCCAGAATCGATGAACTATAATTCCATAATCAATGAACTATAATTCCATAATCTATGAACTAAAATTCCAGAATGAATGAACAATATAATGTTGTTGCTGGAATCGAACCTAAGTTTTTTTTTAAAGGGGGGCGCGCGTTTTTTAATAAAACGATGTCGTTTTGGCATCCGTATGCACCATGCATCGTGCATACAGATGCACAGCATAACTGTTATTGGCCAGTACTTTACCCTTTAATTGGGCCGGGCCAATAACATTGATGGGGCCTTGGATTGTGATCATAGAAGAATAGATTTCGGATGGGTGGTGCGAACTACTGAAGGGCTGTTCGTTGTGCGTGAAGCCGAAGCTATGGGTGCCCGTGAAGTTCTTAGTTGGATAAAGAGAAAATGATGGCAAAGGGTGATCGTTAAATCAGATGCTCAAGTCGTTACGAAAGCGGTCATTCGAGATGGTAATAATGGTACCCCTTATGGTGGCAAATTATATTATGCACCGCGGTGCATAATCGATTATGCACCGCGGTGCATAATCGATTATGCACCGCGCGTCTTTTTTTTTTTAAATGAAAATTAACAGTGTTTATTCCCGCCGTTTCGCACCCTTTTACAAAAAGTAACTCTGTTATTCAGTGTCATTTTGTATACACTGCAGTTTCAGTTGAACACAACTACAGTTTCATTTCGATATAACTATAGTTTCATTCGATATTTATAGACTCAAATATGTGAAAATGTTATTTAATTTTATTTTATATACACTATAGTTTTATTAAAACACAACTACATGATCATTTTGATATAATTACAGCTTCATTGTACAATATACACTCAAATATGTGAAATGTTATTCAGTTCCAGTTTATATACACTGCAGTTTCATTTCACTATAACTACAGTATCATTTTGATATAACTGCAGTGTCGGTTTGGATATACTAACCTCCGTTAACTCTAACGGCGGGCCGTTTCTTTACTTAAAGAAACGGCGCCGTATATGGGCCGCGGTGCATAATCGATTATGCACCGCGGTCTATAATATAACAACTGCCTTATGGTGGTCTTATTGAGGAGATTCGCGTGCTTATTTATGGAACAAATTCAGTTGGTTTCCCTCCGATTTGTGCATCGTGAATTAAATATGCCAACACACATCGTAGCAAAGAACAATCCCCACTAATGCTAGGAGAAAAACAACACTTAAAGTCTTGGTATTATAAGACTTGAACTAACACGTAGTGCACATAAGGTATTTTTTACCTGTCGAGTGAACGAATCTTGAACTCTACAGACATTAATGCATTCCGCAATATTACACAATCTTAAGGTGGCCAACCTTCTCACCCGTGTAGATGATCTCACACGTTTTGCCTCTTTGTAGACTTGAGAATTGAGATCATTAAGAACATTTATTTCAAAACTTTTCTATAATACTTTACTTTCATGCAGAGGAAAACTTATGATAAGAAACCACATATATCATTATAATTATAATTGCTTGGCCCGCATGGGTAGCTCAACTGGTCATAGAGGTGAAACTTTAAAAGAATGACCTGGGATCAAGTCTCACCAGTCACAGTGTGGGAGCAACTTCTCAAAGTGCGCAGTGAGCACCGGTTTAGCCTTTGTGGTTAATATTCAGTTGAGCATCATGATTTACATCTTTTGTGCGCAGTGAGCATCGATCTAGCCTCTGTGGTTAATATTCAGTTGAGCATCATGATTTACATCTTTTGTGCGCAGTGAGCATCGATCTAGCCTCTGTGGTTAATATTCAGTTGAGCATCGATCTAGCCTCTGTGGTTAATATTCAGTTGAGTCATCATGATTTACATCTTTCCAAATACTCTGCTGGGATTGGGGTTTAGCCTTTTTAGAAGAAAAATTATAATTGCTTGCACTTAAAAATTCAAGAGTGTAAAATGACATAAATTAAAGGAGATATATGTGATATATAAAGTATTACCATAAATATAATAGAAACTAAGTCATAATATATTCGGAAAAATAGCAACCTTGCACGTGTCAAATGTAGCTAACCTCTTAGTTATGTAAATCCCGTTCTGCAATCTTATTCGAAAGGTTATCTATGTAAACAATGCGTAGCCAATGGAGCCCCAATTAAGATGAAACTGTTAGTGATGGCGTATGCATGCATTCTCTAAATTAAAACCGCCAATAGTGTTTGCTTTTTGTTCTCTATGGTTTATCCACTTGTGTTGCAAAGACACATATGCATTATGTGAATAAGCACATGTATATTAAAACATTAATATATAATACTTATCTTTAGATTTTATGAGGTAGTGTTTCTTGGGAAGAGGTGGGACACGACCAATAGAAAGCCATCGACAAGGCGCATTGACGTTTCAAGAGGTGGAGACGTTGTCGATCGTATGTTTTTAGCTGCAATAGCAAGGCTCTTTACATGTCGATCTCTCAAACTCCACTTACAAAACCCTATCTCCTTCAAGCACGCCACCACCGCCAGCCCTAATGCCTTGGCGCTGACAATGATAAACCCCGAAATGCAACTGCTCATCCCCTGAATGCAAACACAAGTCCTTATCTTCTCATAATGGCGATATACTATTTTCACATTTATCAACGTCGAATTCGCTTCTATATTGTTAGTTGGAGAAATAATGATAATAATGTGAAATTAAAGAAATGTTGTATCATGGAATAACTACTAACATAAAAGCGAATTCGTCACTATCGGTGCAAGCTCACAACAACAGTGTCGCGATCGCTATCCGAGATTAACACATCAACCCCCGTCTCCGTGCATCAGGGATTAGGATTGAAACTTACACGACATTCTCTGAGTTTAAAAAAAAAAAAAAATTGACTAAACTCAAGAATATCTCATTTAAATAATATAGGCCAGACGATTATAACTATTTACCACATAACAAATTTTGGTCACTTACCAACTTGTTTTGAATATTAAATCAAGACTAATCACTAGAATATTAGATAATCAAACCCAAAAAAAAACAATTATTTAATGTATTTTTATCAAAGATAATTGTTATGTCAGGGTTAACATGTCTTTCCTCAAAAAGATCTCTTCTGAAAAGAAAAAAAAAAAAATTATCATGGCAACAATAATTATCACAACCTTTATTTGGTGTCATTTTCAATGTTTCATCCCACCATATGTTGACCAACCAAAGAAAAATAAAAGAATCACAATTATATCAAGGCAACCTGCCAAACACCTTGTGCTCACCTTGTGCTCAGATGACATATAGTGATCTTTTCTATGTGAAATATAATGAGTTCGAGCTTTAGTGGGAGTGTTGTTGATTCCGTGTGCTTCATTAAGTTAAGAAAGTATGTTTAAACAAGTACTACAATGTAATAGCTAGAGTCAGTAGCATTCAAATATATATATATATATATATATATATATAAGGCACCCTCCTAGAAGTCTAGCTTAACAGAAGAGAATGTAATATATTGATAAAAAAAAAATTTAAATAACAATAAAGCCAAAAAAAAAAAAAAGTAGCATCAGATAAAATTCTTGCTTAATTATATTCTCTGCAGTGCTTTGCTTAAAGTCAGATAAAGGAAAAGAATTTCAAAAAAGTGAATATGACAAGCTAAATTGTTGACAAATTTGTCCATCCAAATTTTTTAGATTACTGTACTTCATTGGATTCCTAAATGCCATAGTACAACCTGCACTCATGCTTTCACACAATAATACTATACCAAGCATCAATTTCTTAATTAACTTATACCAAATTAATATTTGTCTCATCTTTTAATACATCATTTACCTTATTATACGCACAAAAAACTCAATCCCTAAAAGCTCAACTCCAATAACATTTAGGGTCATGTTCACCCCCACCCAATCGCCACTGACCATAACATGAAACCAAATGATCAACATCTATACTAGTCCAGAATTAAATGGTAATCAAGTAACTCAAGATCCACCTCAAAACTTCACAATTCTTCAACAATAGATCCCAAAAAGCAACCAAAAAAAAAATGTCCTCTTCTTCTTCTTCATCATCCTCTTTTGGGTGTAGGAGATCAACAATTGTCCGGAGAATGGTGAATCTTCCACGCAACATCTTGGGAGGATTTTCCAGGATGATGGATCAAGGAATGGAGCTAATGAGAACAGGAGGGAGAAGACATCATCAACACTACCCCCTCCCCCACCCCCTCCCACCCCACCCCCCACTGGACTTCCACTATTACGAGCACGATCCAACGGCTCACGACGAGTGGGCATTCTTGAACAGCTTTGAGCGCCAGTATGGGACCCAACACCCCTTCTTCTACGCCTGCAGATTCATGGACGCCCTAAAGATTTGCAGGGATGAACACAAGCTGTTGTTCCTGTACCTTCACTCCCCGGACCACCCCTTCTCGCCTTCTTTCTGCAGAGAGACGCTGTGTTCTGAGGTGGTTGTGCAGTTTCTTGATGCCAATTATGTGTGCTGGGCTGCCCTTGCTGATAGGGCTGAAGGCTTGCAAATGGCTACCACACTTAGAGCCTCTACTTACCCTTTTTGCTGTGTGGTGGCCTCAGCTCCTGGGGACTCCATTGCAGTTTTACAACAGGTAGGTGAATTTTCATTGGTGAAAAATAAAAATTGGAAATTTTCATGTTAATTATCAATTAAACATGTGTTATGATTATTATTCGAGAGAATTGTACTTTTGGCCGTGCCTAACTTATAGGGTAATGGTAGGATTCGTCCATTTAAGTTATATAAAAGATAGAATTTGTAATTCTTGATACGGTACTCAAGCCAAGACCAAGACCCTAACTCCACCACAAAAGCTAGCTCATGAGTGGAGGTTTGGCCCCAACTTAAGTACCACTCCACAATCTCTTGTGGAGCCGATGTGGGATTGTATCATTACCCACCCCTTGAGAAGCCGACGTCCGCGACGGCTTACACTCCAGACTCTTCTCGGCATCCGGTAGCCCTTTTCCCCTTTGGATGGCTTCACTCCGAACCTTATCAAGCACCAGGTAGCCCTTTTCTAGGTCGCTCCCTCCGCTAGGCCGGCACTGGATGAGTGGACGGCTTCACCCTGGATAGCTTTCACTCCGGACTCTTCTCAGTTCCCTTCACCCTGGATAGCTTTCACTCCGAACTCTTCTCGGTTCCCTTTAAACCTTATCAAGCACCGGGTAGCAATTTTCCAGGTAGCCCTTTCCCACCACACTCCGACCTCTCTTGGACCCTTTCCCACCACACTCTGACCTCTCAACAAGAGCATCAAATGATACAGTACTCAAGCCAAGACCCTAACTCCACCACAAAAGCTAGCTCATGAGTGGAGGTTTGGCCCCAACTTAAGTACCACTCCACAATCTCTTGTGGAACTGATGTGGGATCGTATCAAAACCCGCAATCATTATTCGAATGAATGCACGGAGTAAATCCAGTCTTTTGACCCTAGCTAGCAAAGAACCGTAAGGATGTAAACCAATCTAGCTAGGTCATCCATAGCTGACCGATTCAAACCGATAAGACTCATAAAGACATAGGTTTTTCTTGTTGGGGGCAAATTATATCGTGCACCGCGGAGCATAATCGATTATGTGCACCGCGCATCAAAATGACGTCGTTTTGTTTAATGAAAAGAACCGGCATCCGTTTCCCGCCGTTCTGCAAAAAATAAGTCTGATCTGTTATTCAGTTTCATTTTGTATACACTGCAGTTTCGGTTCAACACAACTACAATTTCATTTCGATATAAGTACAATTTCATTCGATATTTATGTTGGGTTACCGTTGGTGAAAACCAAATAATAATCCTACAAAATAAGGATTATTATTTTCTGTAGAAAAAGGAAGGAAAGATGAAGAGATGAGCTCGTATTTGGTGTAGGGTTTTTAGCATGAGTCGAGCGATCACTCTTTCCTTAAAACCTTATTTGTTACCTCCCACAAGTGCTAGGAGCGTTATAGTCTAGGCTTCCCTGAATAAAACTTGCTACGATTCAATGTTTGAGCACCCAAACAAGGAATCCGGCGAACTAGAGCAAGGTTTTGAACACAATTAGGCTAAGAAAGAGTAGAAGTAGAGAGTGTTTTGAAGCTGAAAAAAACGTGTACGTATGTGAGCTTGTTGTGCTTGTGAAATGCTCCTGCCCTACCCCTTCTTATATAGGGCTTGAGGATTAAAAGCTTTTAATTTTGGCATTTAAAGGCACCACTTCAACTCCTGTAACAACCATCAATTGGGTTTTTAATTCAAATTTAAAAATTGAAATTAAAGAAAATTAATTCCATAACAACTGAATTAAAATCACAACAGTCACAACAAGACCTCTATGCTACACAATTCAATAAACTTTAAAAGAGCTCTTGTATAAATAGTTGGGCAAATCCTCTTCTCAAACCAATGTGGGACAAAAACTTCACTTTTTCCCTTCATTTTTCAACTAAAATGGGTCTACTTTGAGAATCAATATCTCATTCACCCATTATCCGTTTTGAGTGTACAATATATCAATCTCTTCCTCTCACTACAAAGAACCCGAATCCACTTTGACCCAACCCAAATCGGAAATGGACCCCACTGATAATTGTACCACAAAATAGCCACTTAACATGTCATTTTAAGCTATTTTTTTCAACAATTTGTAGATTCAAATATTTGAAAATGTTATTTAATTTTATTTTATATACACTATAGTTTTATTAAAACACAACTACATAATCATTTTGATATAATTACAGCTTCATTGTATAATATACACTCAAATATGTGAAATGTTATTCAGTTTCATTTATATACACAGCAGTTTCATTTCACCACAACTACAGTATCATTTTGATACAACTGCAGTTTCATTTGATAATATAAAAATAATATGTGAGACAGTGTCGGTTTAGATATACTAGTGTTAGTTGGTAATTAACATACAAAAAAATGCGCGCTCCGTTAAAACTAACGGTGATAGAAACGGCGCCGTTTTGACCGCGGTGCATGTGCACCGCGGTCCACGATATAATGACTGCTTGTTCGGAGTTAAACTTATAACTTTGTAGTTATCAAGTCAACAACCTAACAATTTGGCTGGTTATCCTTGTGTTATGATTATTATTAGTTATAGATATAGATGATTCAATACCTTTTACCTTATTTAATTAGGTTTTTGAAAATTAACATGTGACCTTCAAATTTAACAATATTTTGAGTGATTGGATAACAGATGGAAGGTCCAGTGTCAGCAGCAGAGCTGGTGGAGATACTACAGAGGACAATTGAAGAACAAGGGGTGGCCTTTGGCAGTGCAGTGGCTAAGGACCAAGAAAAACTATGGGCAGATCGACGGCTGAGGGAAGAGCAAGATGTTGCTTACATCACTTCACTACAAATAGATCAGGTCCGTCCATTTTCATCAATTTTAAGTGTTACATTCCATTAGAGCATCCCCATTAGTAACTTTTAGGTGATTTTTTGTGGAGCCAAGTACGATGAAAAAAAGATAGAAATTTGAGATCTCTTTAGAAGTATTTATTTTTTTTATGGACTTCTGGATCCCAATAAAATGTTAAAAAATTCAAACCAATGACACTGATGCATGTTAGGAGCATAGAAGTGCCCAACCGAGCACCACCAACCGAGCTTCTTCTTCTTTTTTTTTTTTTTTTTTTTTTTTTTGAATAGTATTAACTTTATTACAAAGTAGTAAGGTAATATTTGTTCTATACTTTCTCAAACTGTTGAAGATCAAAGAGTTAATATCGATCCTGTGACCTTCCCTCAATAGGAGTCACAGAGGTGTCATCTGAGTACAAAATGCTTAGCTACCACCAACCTAGCTAGGAGGCTAATTAAAAGTTTCTTTTTTATTTTTGGTCACTACTTTGTCAGGAGAAAGAAAAACTGAGTAGAGAGTCTGAACAAAATGTTCCAAAACAACAAACTCCAACAAGCAGTGGAAGACCTAAACATATTTCCTCCTCACAAACTCATCAGCGCAATAAGGTATTAAAAGAAGGTATTGGTTTTGGCAAAGGAAACTCACAGAGGAATGGCGCAAATGGAGCGAAAAGTGCCGAAATCATTCAGGTAAAAGTGCAACTTAAAAATCAATATTATTTTTTAGTTCTTTTTTTGTCAAACTGTGTTTACACTCATGTACCTTATCAGCGGCTGTGTGGGAATTTTGTCAAAAGTAGGCAAATTCTTTGTGCACACCAACATTTGAGTATGTCCGTTGAGCCATTTAAATCATCCCAAATGTTCTGTCTGGTCAAGATGTGATGATCCCTTGGGGTCGGGGATTCAATCTTTTTGGGAGAAGAATAAATAGCCTTATAATATATCTTCATTTAAATTTTTACCAATTTTACAATTGTCCACTGTCCAGATACAAATTCGGTTTCCAAATGGAGAGAGGAAAGAGCAAAGCTTCTTATCAACAGATAAGATCCAAGCAATTTATAGGTATATTGATTCACTAGGCATGCCAGGAGTTGAGAATTACAGATTGATATCAAACTTCCCCAGAAAGGTGTATGGTGTGGATCAAATGGCAATGACCGTTAAAGATGCTGGGCTACATCCAAAAGCAAGTCTTTTCTTGGAGCTTATTTGAAATTAATTTTTGTACATCTAATTAATTAGCTCCATCAAACAAATACAAAAAAACCATCTCCTATTGCTAATTAATTAACTTCTAATTGCAATTATAGTTGAAATATGAATCATATATTGGTGATTTGGTGGAAATGAGCACTCAATGAAATTCCGTATGAAAATATAAAAGTTGAGCCATCACTACTTGTAACCAAATTAAACATTCACTTCAAAGTGACAAATCCCTTGTACGCACCGATATTTGATATGTCTGTTGAGTTATTTAGTCACCATAATTTATATTTTCCCAAATGCCTGATTGGGCAGGATATGAAGGGCCTTTGAGGTTGAAAATTCAACCTTTAGGGAGAGAAAAGAATAAACATTCACTTATAAATAAAATACAATTTTTATGGTGAAATATTCATATAGGCACATGGTTTACTTTAAAGATTCTTTTGGTTTTAGCTAAAATTCCAACTTAACTCTTACGTTTTACTAGTATTTTGTATGCGCGATTCACAATATTAATACTCAATGTTAAAATGTTAATTATATTAAAATATTTTTTAAAATAATAATATATAATTTTTTTAAAAAAAATTATAGTTGTAAAATTCATATTATATTACAAGTATAGTTATAATTTGAATAATAATCATGTACAAATACAATTAATATTATTAAAGTAATAATTTTAGATAGGATAGATTACTAAATATAATTATGGTAACATTTAATTAAAATTTAAAAGAAATCAAATGTATTTATTTAAAAAAAAAAATCAAATATATTTCTTATATTACTCTAATATATAATCTCTATATACATTATTACTATTAAAAAATATAACAAAAGATATAGTGTGTGCATGTGCATAGTAATAATACTGGAAAAATATAACAAAAGTTACAACGATTGGATATTTTGTCTAAAAATTTATATAGTACAACTTTTATAATATACTACTAGTTTTTTTACGCGCTTTGCGCGAATAGGATAATGCCCAATGATTATTTTTAAATAAGTATTTCAAAGTATATCAACGCAATATTATATTGGAGATGTTCATGCATATGTAAATAAATATTGAATTTGTTTATTTAAATCGGTAATTCAAAATATATAAATGCAATATAATATTTATTGAATTTTTTAATCGATATTTGGCAGTGGTAGTTTTCCCCTACATGTTTCATGCATTGTGAGATGTGTGTCGTAGGTTATCATGTGAAAGTATTGAACAAAATATTAATATTTATTATATTTGTATAAAATACTTGATAAATAAATATATATAATGTGTTTTGTATTATAACTTTGATATTTAATTACAAGATAATGTAAAAAGAAGACAATGGACAATGCAGTGAATATAATAAATTAATAAATTTGAAGGTAATGAATCTTTGAATGGTAGAAAATAAAGATATATAACTAATGAAATTATATCTATTTTTAAATTTTTTATGAAGATTTGTTTTAAAAAAATAAAGGCATTATAGACATCTAATTCTAAATTAATAAAATGCATATATATTATTTTTTGTTGTAGCTAATACTTTATTTAGTTTAATAAGAGTAATAAAGTGGCGTACATACTTTTCATCAACAATAACGCAATCATTGATTTTTTTTTTTAATTTACATTCGTTGTTGAGACAAATTGTTTTGAGAGTGTGTCAATGACAATTGTTACAATTCCTGGCAATATAGGATATAATAAGTAATTCAAAATATATAGTTACAATAGATACTGTTATAATAATATAGTAAAAATTAACTTACAAATTTCTTTAGAAGTTTTCATACATTTGATAAAATTCGGATGTCTAAACTTGTTCAATTAGAGCCAGCGGGATGTTAGCATTGTCATTCGTTAGAAAATGATCCTACCGTTTTAGAGTCCAGGTGTAATTGTATTTATGATCAACAATTTTGTAGTTAGGTCGTGCAGGCCTGACAATGATGTAGGAACAATTTTGTTCGATAAAAAAATAATAGTATAATATTTGTAAAGTAATGTACAATAATTGTACCATTATAAGAATACATACAAATTAAAAAATATTAATACCATAACGACCTAAATCATACCAATAATGCAAAAGTATAATTGAAATATTAAGTTTTTTTTCTGATCTAAGTAATCAAAAGAAGATTAATTAAATTATAAAAAAAAAAAACTTAACCTAAATATATTTTTTTTAAATGCATTAAAATCAAATGATTTTTAAAGTTCTTGATTTATAATCTTTGATGCTTAACTTTGAATATTATATATTTAGTCAGACTAATTATTTGAACAAAGTTTATGTTAAATTTTATATTATATATATTTTAAATATATTTTAACATATTCGTAGTATATGTTTAACAATTATACCAACTCTAATTGGGATGTGGTTCAAAACTAAGATTTTTCTTATAGAAATTAATGTGTAAGTTAAAATAATAAATAGTTAATGGAATATTCCGTTACTAAAGTTTATGCTAACGGAATTTAGGTTATTTAAGGGAAGAAAATAAAATAATAGAGGGTAAATAAGGAAAATCAATCAAAAATACTAAAATAAAAATAATATGAACCATTCATTTTAAGAAACAGTAGTATAATATGAATCATTCATTTTAAGAAAGAATAGGACCGACATTTTTTTGTTCCAGTTAAGGGCCGAACATTATTGGCTCTTATTAGAATTGTAGACGTAGATAGATGTAGATGTAGATAGATGTAGATATGTCTTAGTGCCAGATACTGAATAGTCAAATAAAGAGTTTACTATTACTTCAAAAGTTATAACTCGTAGTGAATACATACATTTATTTTATTACTAGTTTTTTACGCGCATTGCGCGATTGGGATAATGCCCAATGTTTTTTTTTTTTAAATAAGTACTTTAAAGTATATTAAGGCAAGATTATATTGAAATTGTTCATGCATAGATAATTGAAGGTTGAATTTGCGTATTTAAATAGGTAATTCTTCTCCCAAAGGTTGAGTCCCCAACCCCAAGGGCCCCCTACACTCTGACTCGACAGAGCATTGTGGGAAGTTGTAAATCACGGTGACTCAATGGTTCAGCAGACAGGATCAAATGCGGTGCGAACAAGGAATCTGCCCACTTTGGACATAATTCCCGCACTGCCGCCGCCGAGGTTCAAACCTTGGTCTCTTCTCCCAAATACTGCCTACTAAACCATTGAGCTAAGCCCGTGCGGGTTAAATAGGTAATTCTAAGTTTACAAATGCAAGATAATATAGTCAAGATTGATTATAATTGTCAATAAAATAATTGTATAGGTATGGTTGAAACCAAATACGGGACATAAGGGAGAACAAATAAAAATTAGGGCATAAAATATTAAATATATACTAATATTGTTTGAGGAGATTTCGACATTAGGATTTGTGGTTAAGTTCTATTAAGACTTTAATATTAGAATTAGATTAATGGTGTAATTATAATTCTATATTAGACGTTAATATTAGAATTAGACTAACGGTGAATTAACGGTATTTAACGGAAAAGTTAAATGGATAATCATATAATTAAGGATAAATTAGAAAAACTTTAAAAAAAATTAAAACCTGAACAATTTGAATCATTCATTTGATTTAATAATTTGGCGGTCATTTTTTCTACCCAATGTTAATAATTAAATAAATTCGTTGGTCAAATCCGCTAATATAATCCGTAATTGCTGATTGTCAAACAAGGACATTGCAAGGTAGTTCTCACTTCAATTTGTTGTGTGATTTGAATACTCTCTTTGTCACAAAATCTCTAAAGTAGTTAATATGGTTGGCTTTATTAATTATATTTTTTTTAATTTTTTCATAGTATTAATAAAATACTTGGTAAATAAATATATAGCATTATTTTGTATTATAACTTTGATATTTAATTAGAAAAATAGTGCACAAAAAAAGATAATAGACAATGTAGTGAATATAATCAATTGATGAATTTGAATGTAAAAATTTTTACATTTGAGAAAAATAAAGACAATATAACTAATGAAAATATTTCTCTTAATTAATTTATTGATAATGAATAATTTTTTTTTACTGAATTAAGACATTGTAAGGACAATGTAGCGAATATAATCAATTAATAAATTTGAATATAAAGAATTTTTATATTGTAGAAAAATAAAGACAATATAACTAATACAATTATTTCTCTTATTTAATTTATTGATAATGAATAATTTTTTTTGAATAAAGGCGTTGTGGACACATAATTCTAAATTAAAGAAATGCATATCTATAATTTTGTAGCTACTAAATTATTATTTATATAATTTAATAATAGTAAAATAGAGTACTAATTATGCCAACTTTGATTGGGATGAGGTTCGAACCTAAGACTTTTTTTTTTTATTGAAATCAATGAGTAAGTTAACGGTGAACTAACGACAATTCTTAAAATTTTAACGGAATTAGTAACGGTGTGTGGGTATTTTAGGAAATTTTAGTGTAAAATTTAAATTTTATCAATCTTTTAATCAATCTGAGCCATTCATTTGATTAAAATCTGTGACCGCCATTTTTTCTACCCATTATAGGCCTAACTCTCTTGGGCTCTTGTTAGTATAGTAGATAGTAGATATAAAATAATTAATAGAAAAAACGTACATAAATCAATAATGATATAACCTTAATTGATGAGAATTATTATGTTTTTAGATTACATACAAAGATAAATTCTTTCGTTTTTTTTTTTTCTTTTCTTTTGTTAATTTTAGATTATGTTTTCAAACATTTCATTAACTTTTATCATTTGACCTTATCCGGACAAATATGTCATTGGCAAGATGATGTGAAAATTTCGGTCAAAATACCTATGTAGTCCCTATACTATAGTGTTTTGTTCAATTTAGTCCTTCTACTTTAATTTTGTTTAATTTAGTCTCTATACTTTAAAAATTGAAACAATTAAGGACAATAGCTTATATGAACAAATATTTATGTATTTATTTATGACATAATAATGTAATATATTTGTGGTAAAAATAATTAATTTTAAATATTTATAAATTAATATATGAGTTGGCATGTAAGTATGATGACGTGGCAGAGATAATGTCAGCGCCACATCAGCTATTGTCCTTAATTGTTTCACTTTTCAAAGTACAGG